AGTTTAAATTCCTGTGCATTTACTGTTTTAATTTATATCCAAACTTTTTTTACTGTCTTAATAGAATAGTTACTATCGTGTTTGGTTCTAATAAGATTTGGGAACGTTTGACATAAAAGTACACAGCAGAAAAAACACATTTTAACATTTCTAAACAACACGTCCATATTTGCATCCGTGATATTTATATTTCATATATCCATAATGATTAAGAGTAATTAAATTATTCAGGTGCGCATCAAAAGAGTTTGGTACATCACAATCTGTTAATTCTACAGAGAGGATAACACCGCTTACTATGAAATTATTACAAAGTAGTTAGTCAAAAGCTGCCTTTGTCATGACAAAGGCAGCCTTTTGACTATTCAACCGTCATGCATGGCATTCAACGCGATAGTTGAAGTGTAAATTGTATTAAACTTTTCCTTAACTTGTGAAAATTCTAAATAAAACAATCTATATATATTTTCATTTTATTTAAAATTCGTTACATATTTACTCACATTAACGAGTAGGTAACCTAGTATTATCGTACGGAATACATCAAAACAGCGTCAAGGAAATATTAGTTCCTGCTACTTTTTTTCAATTTTATTGACATTAGTATCTAAAGCGGCACCTCCAAATGAAATTATAGAACATTGCAAAGTTTTAAGTCATATATTTATGAAATACCCGATAATGCTTGCATTTTCATTATACTATTACACGTAGCCAGTTATAAAACAGGTAGGAAGATGCGGAAAATTGAATGAGACGCGATTAATCGCTGTTTTATTAGAAACTGCGTTGTAAACGATGCTACTCACGGTGAATCTCCGCATTAGAAAGTGCATGGGAACACGACTTGTTGCGCGAAACTGGTGGTGATATTTTCATGTCATTAGAATCACACATCATCATAGAGCTTGTACTGTGTTGATGACGTTGCCTGACAATCTTTACTTTCAAGAACTAATTGCAAGAACAATACGAAATCGTGTTACATTTCTATAAATATACAATTAAGACTATATGTGTACCCTCCTATTTCTTAATAGCTAAATACGTCTCCGTCTCGGCAATACTGATATAGAGGTGATTCCAAAATTTATATTAGTACCAAGCCAGCAGCTTCCGTCGACTTCCCGCACATTTGCACAGTTTGTCCCTCAATTAAATGCGTAAACAGTACGAGGCTGCGACTCGAGCTTGCTGCACTTTTGCTTCCCCATCAGCTAGTGGTTCTACAAGCTATATGACCAAAAATCTTCTGAATTATGTCAGATACCTTTGTTCAACTGCGGATATCTTCATTGCGAATTCTGTAGCCCTTCCATAGCTCACAAAGCGGTTTTGAGTTACCTCGCGCGGCCACTGGTCATAGTCCACCACGAAGCCCCACTGCGGATTGGCCAACTTCACATTTCGAAATATTTTTTTTATATATTTGAATAATTTTAATAATTAAGTCAGAATTTAAAAAAAAAACGGACCGTGGATTCTCCGGGTCTATCGATTTATTTCTATTGTCAAAGTGTTCCCTAAAAACAACAACAAACTTGTTGACAATGCGTGCATTCATAAATGCGTCGTATACTTTTGAAACGAACTGATGTGCGTGTTAGTTATGAATGATCGCGCGTAAAATAAATGAGTTGCCCATAAATCACGCACTTTCTGAGATAAGTTCAAATGAATGTAATTAATTAATTACGAGTGATTTTAAATATTTTATAATTTTTTATATAACTTTATTTATGTTTAGTATTTAATAAAAAAAATGGATACACTTAGAAAAGCCACCCTGTATAGTATTTTTTTTAAGTAGCTATTATAATCAACCCAAATGAAAACTCTTAAAATAGCCGTACACCAAATAAAATTACATCGTCCACATAAAAAAATTGTCATAAATACCAAAAAACTATTATTCAGTCATTTATTCATTCATTCATTCATAATATTCAGCGCTTCTAATCCATCTAATCAAAGACAGAATCCACATTCATAACAAACGGAACGAACAAACTTTATTTCCCAAAGATGGTCTTGCATACTCACGTCCACTAAACCACCATATCTCACCACCCATCAAAACGGTCCATCCATTAAGACGAATCAAACTCGACGCAGTTGTGTTCCTTAATTACTGAGTTCCTACGGCCACATTCCAGCTCGCGTTTCGTCTGGTGAGTGAGGTAGCCGGAGCCCAATTTTCAAAAGGTTGTCAACGCATCTGTAACCCTCGGGTGTAGCAGGTGGCCATGGGTGGCGGTATTCACTTAACATCAGGTGAACAATCTGCTCGTTTGGCAACTTTCGCATAAAAAAAACCCCTATGCATATGTCCATGGACAGCTGAAGATGTAGCTCCATCATCAGGTCCTGGTTACCAATGAAAGTCAAACTACTCGTCAATACGATTCAAATTTTACCAAACGCGATGAGGCTCTGTCGTTTCATTTCGAATTTTCTTTAGCGTGCTTCCAGCTCCATCACCAGATTACCACCATGTCATAAAAGTATTGCATTGTCTCGCGACTTACAAAATTTCAGCTCAACCGGTAACCGGGAAGTAAATCAAGTTTAATTTGCAAGATTTGATTTGATGATTTAACATTAAAATATTGTAAAAATGTTCATAAAATGAAAAGTACTTGGCCAAACTATGGTAAATTTTTATGAGACCAAATGGCAACTATTCTGCATCAAACTATAAAGAAGAATCACGTAAATCGGATCATAAATCTCAACGTAATCGGTGTACATACATTGAAAAAAAATATACCAATCGAATTGAGAAATTCCTCCTTTTGAAGTCGGTTAAAAATATTATATTAATTTAATTAAATATTGAAGGTACTTACATAAAATCTATACTTTGGGAAAAAATATATAAAAACATTATATTTAACAATTTTAATTAGTTGTCTACCTAGGTCGTGGACCCAGCCCAGGGGGGGGTCATGGGGGTCATGACCCCCCCCTGGATCCGCCCTTGTTGTTCAACGGAACATTCCAAAAAATAATAGGTCGGTCACACGTTCATTTATAACGTGTTCTACTAAAAACTCATAAATATGTATGGCATAAACGCATGTGGCACTGTTTTCAACGAAAAATCCATAAAATGTGGGTGACTGTACAATAATTATCAATTGACTCTATATAGTATTTTAGACTGGTCTGTTACATTAGTAACCGGCGCTACCCTTTGACACTGTAGATGGCCTAGCTCCTAAAGGACTTCTTGGCCCATTATGAAACTTGGCAAGGACTATCTATACACTATTAACTAGTTTCAGGAAAAAAATAAAAAAATTTAAAGTGGTCCAACTTTGTGAAATTCAAGTTTAAAAAGTTGAAATGATTTTTTTCCAAAAAAAAATTTTTCTATCCAAAAATGCAATTAAAAAGCTCATTAAATTAAGCATACACTTGACTACTTCATTCATTTCCCTTTATCTTTTCAATACCGGATAATGGGATTCGAAGTGGCGCATACCTGCCGGTTAGTCACATTTTTAAGGCTCTGTAAATCGTATACTACATTTTATACTGTAAAAATATTTTGTATCTGGATTGAGGACATATATAGGTATAACATAACCAAATATTACTAAAATCGGAAACATCAACTTTTTTTACCTCTCCGCTTCGCGTGGAATGCCCCATCTGGTAGACCACCAGTTCGTTTGACACAAAAAAATTTTTTTCAGAAACAACAGCATTCATCACAATTAACATTCTTAAAATTAAGACGGCGATGACATCAATATATATAACAATATCAAATAAATTTTATATCAATGATACAGTACTGTCGGATCTAAGAGATTGCGAACAATAAGATCCTTGACTTAGATGTGACAATAAACTAAATATACAGCTGAGCAGACAAACATTGTGACGTAAATATATATTTATAAGCTATTTTTAGATTGGCTAATTAAGTAAAACGGATGCTGTAAACAAGCAACTGGTGAAATACCACCGTCGTCTAGTGGAAATATTTGCAAACTAGAGAGGCTGGGATTCCGCCCCTACAGTGCGAAGCTGTTGAAGTCGGTGTTCGTGCCATTTCCTAACCCATTCCCTCCTAACCAACTCTCCCGATACTTATTTGTTGCAATTTAAACTAAATCTCCCTTTCTTTCGCGGACGTAAATTTTGATAATGTGTCCGGGCGCTCGCCTTTAATTCTATACACTCGAGCAACTTGAGTTCGATCCCCGATGCCGGCAACAATGAAATTGTCAATTTTAAGTGCTGAATTATCACGTACTCAGCGGTGAAGGAAAACATCGTGAGGAAACCTGCATATTTTCGAAATAATAACAAAAAAAAATATTTCTAAGATATGTGAAGTCCACCAATCCGCAGTGCGGCCGCGTGGTGGACTATGCCCTGATACCCTCTGTATAGAGGAGGCCTTTGCCCAGCAGTGGGACATGTATAGGCTGATACTTTACATTTTACTTTTTTTATTAAGATAATTCGCATTAATAAATAAATTGCCATATTAACCTACTATCCTAATATCATCGTAAGCTGCATGGTTATTTGTCGCTCGACGTCATGATGATGGCACTCTGTTTATTTAGGTTTTCTTATTAGAATAATTTTGAGCGATATCTAGCTATCAAATTGCACGTTAATGAGAAAAAATCATTACCGTGCACTTTTTGATTTGACCCTTTCCAATTTATATATTTCGAAAATGTAGCTTAAGTTTTAGATATTAAAAGTTAATGGTGATTTTAAAGTTAAAATCTCTGTTAACTCTTAATGTTTCCAAAACAGCGAGAAAAGAATATAATAACATAAAATACAATTAATAAATACACACGCACGGGCACCTACAACATACTCAACAGCTATCTAATCGTTTATAACTGATAAAATGTTATAAACAACTGGAGTTAATATATGTATATACTTGAACGTGATGTTACGCTTTATTTATCGCATCGCGCTTTAGAACTCTATATGATACGGTCCTTATAGAGAAAATAAAAATGCCCTGCTTAAAAATCTTAACCAACATTCCGATGAGTAAAATACCACGCGATTTCGTTGATAAAATAATACCCGTTTTAGCGAAAGCAGTCAATAAAGAAGAGCATGTAAGTATCTTTATTAGTATTTTCTTATAACATTTCAGTCTTTATTCTACGTAGAATATCCGTGTTATATGCATTTAGGTTATTTATCAAGTTAACCTTTCGTAAATATAAGAGTTTACTGCACTGATCCCTAATGGTTAAAATTATACAGTACTTATCAAATGAAACTATTTTATGGATTTTATCGCGTTTTAATACTGATTTATGTCTGTCCTGTGAACATGTACGCTGGAAAATATATTTAATTATCCGACTCTATATGTAATAAAATTAATACGTAATTACGATATAATCCGTAAAATAGTTTCATTTTATATTATGATATTAAACACAAATAGGACGTAGATATGACATTAGAGCACGTAAACTGAGACACTGAAATTACACCAATTGGTGTAATTAGATCGCAATTCTTAAGACTGCTATCTCTTTCCGTATCATACGTTCTATATCTATATTAATATTTACTAGTTGTATTTATGGTGTAACTTAAATATATACGTTGTATCATTGTCTCTGGCGACTTTTCAATCACTTATCTCATAATTAGATTCAAATCATATTAACTAAATTAACTCAAATAAATTAAAAACGATAAATTATCGCTGTATAGTCTCAATAAAAGTAATAGCAAAATTCACTATCAAAAATTTTGCTCTTTTATTTTATCTTCACACGGACGTGTAACAATGAAAATTCTTTAATCGTTCAAAGATCATAAATTAAGTCGATCATTTACGATAACTGACAACTCCTCAAAAAAGCACGAAAATCATGTCCATACTCAAATTTATACATCATTAACATCATCTAAAAGATTATGGCTTTTGTTTTGGAATCCTGAAAATCATTCCCTCGCCCTGTCCCACACTTGAGCGAAATAGTATTTTTGAAGGAATGAGATGTCATTTTCATATCGGCTTAGTTTTAATAAACAGCAATGTAATATTAATCATTATTACAATAATATAAAAAATATAAAAACCAAAGCAGACGAGAAAATAACTAAATATCCCTCATAAGAATGGAGAATGGAAGAATCAGATACTATAAAAATAACATAAAAAAAATCATTCCCTCACAAGAGCGATCATTCCCTTCAAAATCATTTGGATTTTTTTTTACCACATGACTTCAAGTTAAATTGAGAAAAATTGGGGACCACCTAATCAGTCGAGTTGAGATAAGACACGATTTTTATGAAGTTAAATTATTTCTATATCGGTGGGTCATTTTTCGCAATTTTGTAAAAAGTCAATTGTTTTGCAACTTTAGGTTCTTATTATTGAATAAAAACTTATTTTAATACCAAGGTTATACCGAGACTGTAGGAAAAATCTTAAAATTTTACCAGAATAAGACAATTGATTATTTTCAAATTTAATACCCTTATTTCTATAATTTTTTATTTTTTGGACCAAACTGGCAGAAGTTCATATGCGTTATAAAAGGTGACTGCTACATGTCCTTCGGCGGTGACTCTTCAAAGCCTAGTGCTGTATCCACACTGGAGAGCATCGGTAATTTGGGATCGACGGAGAACAGAAAAATCATTAGAGAGCTATCTGCTTTCGTGAAAAAAGAAATTAATGTTGATCCTGATAGGTAATATTGAAACAGATTATTATAATAATAAAAACAGAAAAGAAAAAAGAATATTAAACAAAATACAATATGGAGAAGAAACCAAATATGAAAATAAACTTTTTTTTCTTCGCAGATTTTTCCTGACATTCTATGATTTGTCACCACGAAATGTGGGAAAAGGCGGCGTTACTATAGAAGAATTGATATAGTCTCAAATAGAAGATAACATAATTAATGTATGTTTAGTTGCTTCCATGGTTGAGTTCACAAAATTATAAACTCATAAAATTAAAATGAAATACCTACATGTAATTTTATAAATAAAATTTATTTTTCAATTTATAATATTTATTTATTTATCGATTATATTTAGAATGTTATTTAGTACAGATGTGGTTCTATTTCTTCATCTTTCTCCTGTACTTACCCCTAGGTGAGGCCGGCACTACATGTGAATGATAAGGTTAATAAGTGCTGGTTAGTTTTTTTGTGACAGATCGCCTGTTTAATGTCACTTATTGTGTCATTAATGTCACTGTTTAATGTTTAATGTTCACCCGGAACAACATCTATGAGACACGCTAATACTTGTCCCTCAATGGAATCTAACCCAGACCTCCGACGCCGAAAGCTTAGCTTATCAATTGAGCCACCGAGGTGTAGTTCTACTTATTTTTCAACTTTAATTATTTTTCTAATTAGATTTTATCAGAATACGTAAGAATCCAAATAAATTATAGCTTTAAAAACTCTTTTATTACTATTAATGACATATCATTGTTTTGTTCGAATAAAATATATTAAAAATATAACTTCATATAATTTCAATCAACATCCCCGTTGTTACTTTTTGTTCTTATTTTTATAGCTCTCCTTGGTTTCACTAGAACTCCTTCTTCATCGACCCACGCTCCATCAATATCTTTCCAAATCCCGCTACAGTTTGCTTCTTCTACTATATCACCTTCATCCGCTTCTTCCCAAGAATTCCAGTTACCTTCCAATTTTATATTTTTCCACGCTGCTTCAATACAATTACTTATCTCTTCTATTTTTCTCTCTTCGTTTCTTTGGTCTTGATTTATGTTTAATTCATTATAATCACTGTCTTCACGGTGATGTAATGAGGCACCTTCCTTTGGGTCTTCTTTAAGACCTTCATTTATTGTATCGTTCACATTGACGTCTTCCCTATCGAATTCTGTAACGTCATCTTTGACATCCAAGCAGTTCATGTCATGTTCTAGTTCTTTTGCTATTTTTTTTAAAATATGGTCGGCCTTAGTTTTCCACTTATTAAGATTCCTCAAAGCCATAATGTACATAGGCTTGGTATTCGGTAAAATTCTGTACAGCATTTTATAGCACGGTACACAAATTTGACTAAGAAATCCCACCTAAAATTTAAATTATTATTTTAATAAATCGTCAAAGGAAGGCTCTGGACATAATTATTAAAACCTAAAACATATATGATTATTGATATAAATGCTTAAATGTTCAAACAACTTAAATATACAACGTGACGCTACTAACGCGACCTTCAATCAACATACATTTAGAGGATACATTTTTAAAAATGTATTAAACTATTATATTATATGTATTGAATGCAACGTGAAGTAAAAGCCTATTCATGTCCCACTGCTGGGCAAAGGCCTACTCTATGCAGAAGGTATCGGGGCATAGTCCACCACGCGGCCCCACTGCGGATTGGCGGACTTCACATAACTTCGAATTTTTTTTCTTATTTGTTATTATTTCGAAAATATCCAGGTTTTCTCACGATGTTTTCCTTCACCGCGGAGCACGTGATAAGTCAGCACTTAAAGTTAAAAACTTCATTGGTGCTGGTACCGGGGATCGAACTCGAGTATATTGAATTAAAGGCGAGCGCCCGGACACTGAGCTATCACGACTCTTGAATGCCTATAAATATATTTTATGATTAATGTATGTCTAATTCTAAGATAAACCAAAAATTTAAACCTGGCTGGCTGGTTGCTCATCAGGCTTGTTACGATCCATCATAGGTATGGGAGTTCTGCCTGCGGCCCTTTCTTTGTCTCCTTGGTCGTAAAACTCTTCAAAAATTACCTTTACTGTCTTTATTTGAATACTCCAAGGTTTAGCAGATGCGGATAGATCGGCGGCAGTCATAGAGATAGCCATGGCTAAATCTCTGTAAGAAAACGGAATCAGTATGAAATACATTAAATTCAACTCGCAATGGCTATGCATTACATAATTATATGTAAAACACAAGCAAAAACAAATGCAAAGGCAAATAACATACTTAAATCGCGGAGCACTTTTAAATAAAAGCATAACATTATAGCAATAAACTTAAAACTAAAGACATGGCACAGCTTACATTAAGAAATATGAAGACGTTCCATACCAAGTTTCACTGAATCTATTAGTAAAGTTTTAAAGGGTGCCTTTTGGAAAATATCTAAACAATATGAAATATGTGATGGATGTACGTGAGCGTAAGACGTGTTAGTTGAAATTGTCGATCCGCTATTGTAGCTGTTGGAACCAGACTTAAGCTATTTATAAATATATGTTTATATTTATAATCAGCTTAGCTCTGTTTCCATTTGAATTACGAAATAAGTGTTAAGATTTTTAAACTATATACCGGTGACTGGGAACGTTCCAGTTGAAACTGTAGTGTCTTGGATCTCCCTCATGGACCTCTTTTAATTTCTCCAAATTCGGAAAGAACGCAGCCAAGTCCGTCGCCAATATGCATTGTCTTATAAAACCCAAAATTTCTTTATACTCAGAACTAGTTAAATGAGAAAAGATATTGTGTCCATCCTACAAGAGAACCGAAAACATGTTTGCAATTATAGTAAATAAATAAAGATTAAAAACCTTAAAAGTGTAAAGTCCATTCGATAAGATGGGTATAAATAAATTTGGATATAATAGTATATAATATAGAAATACACACAATTAAAAAACCGTTAAGAATTTTATTTGGCTTTTATAGTTCATTACATAATCACGTTAGCATATTTGGAGAGGAGGTGGAGGGGGGGGGGGGGGGGGGGGGGGGGTGGCAATATGAGAGTTGGTTTTAATGTATAGGTACTCTAACCTGTTGCAGTATAGTAACAGTTATATTGAAATGGTGGTGTTCCAAAGTAGACGTTGTGTACATTGCAGCCAAAGGTGAGGCAGTTTCGCTCATGTATTTATTAGTGTACCCTCGGTGGTCCAAATCATGGCAAAGGCATGCCACAAACATGGCTAATCTCTGTAAAAGAAGCACCATGATATAGACTTTATCTTTAATGCATTGCTGTTTGTATAAAATACTTATCACGCAGTTTGGGACGTCGTAAGCTCTTTACTTACGCCTACCTCGTTAGAACAAAAAAAAAAGTGAAATCTTGTCATTGTATTTTATTTTCTACAAGACTGCGTGCTCGAAAATACTTCTTTCTCATAAGACACGTTTTCTCACTGTCATGCCACTATTTTCTTTTTTTTAATCCTATTACATTATATCATAGTGATCATATTTGTTTTTATTCAATTTAATATAGACACTAACCATTTTATAGTCGAACCGTTTATTATCGTCGTTCTTCAACATAACATACATGGCGTGGGCGACGCACCAGCCGTGATCAAAGTTGTGGTAAGGAACCCGCCTATAATTTTTCTTCACTGTTAAAACGAATCGGGTGACCGTCATCCGATCGAAATTAGTCAGATCAAAGAGGTCGTCAAACATTGTGATCGCAGCTTTGCATTTTTCGAATTCAGTAAAGCGATAAGGGTCCAAATAGAAGTCGTTGACGTTTGCTTCCAACTGCTGTTTATCGCTAACAATGGCCTGCACTTCATTCTCCCTGCATGTGTTGTGGTAGCTCAGGACTTCTAGGGCCACTCTGTACTTTTGTTCCTTGCGCATTATCCGATCGTATAGGCGTGCGTGATGGAGCGCCAGTCCGAAGAACGTAGAGAATATCTCGAAGGCCACTTCGTCCTCGTGATCGAAATTGTCGTGGTTGCGTTTATTCACCATCTGAACTACCCCAATCACTTTGCCTTGTACTTTGATCGGCATGCACAATATGCTTATTGTTTTATATCCAGTAGCCTCGTCAACTTCTCTGTAAATGATAAAATATTAATGACACATTCATTATTCATATATTTTTAATAATATTTCGAACATAAAAGACTGTTGTTACACAGAGTGCTTCACCTGTTAAATCTAAAGTCCGAGTAGGCGTCGGGAATATTCATAGTCTCCCCCGACAACGCGACGTGACCAGCTATACCTCGATTAATAGGCATTCTGATCTCCTTTTTCTCCATGTCATGACCGAGACCGGGTTCAAATTTTAGATCGAATACCGTGGACACTAGCTCATAGTTTCTATAGTCGACAAGAAATAGGGATGCTCTGTCTGCGTTAACCAGCCTTTGAGCGAATTCCAGAATTCTCTTGATGAGTTGATCTAGAGAAACCATTTCCTCAAAAATTGCTCTGCAATATAAAAATATAGAACACATCGACGCATTATTAAACAAAAAGTACTTAAATTTCTAGCATTATGTATTTGTCTGTGAGATGTCTTTCGCAAATGAATCAATTTAATTAAATAAAATATCATCTTAAAAGGAAAAGCCTATCCAAACACCTTGTGCCTATTTTTTCTCTGCTCTGTACTTTTAAATAACACGAAAATCACCATAAATTCAGCCAAGCATTAACATTTAGTTTTTATTCTGTATTTTTTGGCTTTTAAACAAACACAATAGAGTCCCTCTTGGAAACCACTTCCCCCCTTATGTGTATGAAAAACCGTAAACTATTTACTTTACGACATCCAAAAGAAAATCCGACATGCTCCTCTCTCTTTTCTTGTCGAGATACAGACTGCAATAATGCAAAGCTAAACTTCCCCACACAAGAAAGCTGGAACTCATGTCTTCGTCTTTGTCTGTGAAAGGAGTTTCCACACGCCACATTTCTATGACATACGCCGTTTTACCCGCTGCCGTTAGAATCGGTTGGTAAAGTATGTAATTCGCATTTTTCTGGAAAATTCACACATTTTTTTTACTTTAAAGAAGGAACATTATTTATTTCATTTTTACGCAAGTATTTGACTTAACCATTCTCTACTAATCTACCTCCTAGGCCATGCAGAGATAAAAGGAAAGGTCATTGTGAAAGTAAAGTAATAACACTGAAACAAACTCCTCAAACTTACAGAGATAATTTTAGAAATGTTATCATTTAAGGTATATCTGGAATATCATGGATGGCCTGTTTAATTTAATCAATCGAGTAATAAAAATATTTAGCACATCAACCTCGCTGTCGGTCCCAAATAACTTTAACAATGCGTGCGGTGTCTCGGGAAAAGTTACAGGATGGTCAGCCCTTGATATACACCATGGTACTGCTTTTTTGGCCGCCTCAAGCACCAAAACAACTTGCTGTGGGCTCGCTCGAATCAGACGTGTCGGATTCAATATTTCCTGATAATTATTAAATGCCAGAATATATCATTGCCCAAAATTTTAATTTTGTTATGTCAACTGCCTAATATTTTTTTTTGTTTACATGTTAAATAAATTTAGAGACTGAAATAATTTATTTAAATACATGATCTGTGATATTCTTTATAATTTTTGTCGTTACACTGTCTTGCTTACCCTGGTTTCGCGTAAATGAACGTATTAGAGAAGTCCAGTTTATAATGGAAGTGCATTTAGATGAATTGAAACAAATAATAAAATCTACAATTGTTACAAAATTCTAATAATAAATTATTGTTTTAAAGATTTTTTTTCTATCTCTCTGAAAAATAGACTCCGAAACGACTCAACGAGAATGGTTTCAAAATTACTTGAAAATTTCCATGTTAAATTTAGATATTATGCTTTTTTTAAAGATATGAACAATAATAAGTTTTGAAACCACTTAATTCAAGTTAAATATATAGCCTTCAAAATACAAGAAAATAACAATGTGTATACCATTGTGAAGAAGATTGTTTTTTCAATTTATATATTGACTATAGTATGAATTATTTGTATAACGTTATTAATAGTAGAATTATAGTACAGTTTGTGATGATTTTAGTGCGCAAAAAATTGCGTGCGATATACGTCTATAGTTAAAACGGCAGTGATTATACTGACCTTAGTAGTATCCGTACCAAAATATTGCACAAAATTTGAGTGGTCCGGAAATATTTTATATACTCTGTACGCATCCACGCCAATTGAAGAACTTATGCAGCTTACGAGTTTCCACAGTATTGAATGCTCATCAGTATCTTCTTGCAAACTGTTCACCAAATCCTGTAATAATAATTTAAAAAAAATACGCATCATAGCGTAAATTAGTTGAGTTTTTAATTATTTTATATGAGAAGGAGAGAAGCGTGATGTTAAGTGAAAACTACCGCCCATAGACATTGTCAAGACCCGTAGGATTGCAGATGCATTGCCACCTTTTAATAAAGTTTACCTATATCACCAAACGAAACGCAGAAATATGACACTTCAACTATAGATAATATAATATAAAAAAATATGCTACAGTTTATTTTACCAATTATTAATAATTTATCTACCAGATATCAAATTGATTATTTCGCTACTTGTCATGATAATTATTTCATTATTGTTTTCACTACAAGCTTTTTACCAATTTTAAACGATGATCTATTTCTTTATTTTTAGAGAATGCATATTATTCTTACCATAAACATTTGCTTTCTGGATTGCTTGCCTTTACTGCCATGTCTTAACAGCATTTGGCTATCACTTGATGGATTGTTGACCTTTAAATATAACAGGAGAAAATATCTAAATTAAAGACCTATATTATACTCCGATCGCTATAAAAACAAGTTTATTGAAAGTTAAATGCAATTAAAAGGTGCCATTAAAAATTAAATTAAATGTTTTGATATATTTTATCGGTACAAGCTTATATTCATTTTTTAAACATATTCATTGGTAATTTTCTGTGGTTTTGTTTCAAACCAAGTGACTTTTCATGCGGGTACAAATACTACTAATGATCAAAATCAAGCAGTAAAGTAACAGCCTATACATCCACTGCTGGGTAAAGGCCTCCTCTATACAAAGGGTATCAGGGCATAGTCCACCACACGGCCCCAATGCGGATTGGCGGACTTCACATATCTTCGAAATATATATATTTTTGTTATTATTTCGAAAATATGCAGGTTTCCTCACGATGTTTTCCTCACCGCGGAGCACGTGATAAGACAGCACTTAAAGTTAAAAACTTTATTGGCGCCGGCACCGGTTTTAATGTGTATGAAATAATTTTTGTAACAGATTATAAATTTAACAGTTCATTTATAATAATTATAATAAAAAATATTTCCAAATGTACGCCCATAACTTCTAATCGACCAAATTGGATATTTAATGGTTTAGTACCTGAATGACCGAGCTTTGCTCGGCATTTTTAAAAAAAAGTAAAAAAAATAAGTGTGTAAATAATCGTGACACGAATTAACCGCCCCATTACCAATCGAGCTATTATAACATTTTTTTTCGCGTAATTTACCGTCATATTCGAATGATATTTTCATTCCCTGAAAACAGGGATGAAACGACATTTTATAAAAATGAAACCTAACCAGTTCGATTTTTCGCCCCCGAATCTACGCACATACTAAATTTCATGAAAATCGCTGGAACTGTTTCCGAGATTCCGATTATACATATATATTATTATACATGTAATTGCTTGTTTAAAGGTATAGATTGTGTTTGTTATTAATATCAAGAGATGGTTTCTGCAAAATATATTATACAAAATTACCGGGCGAAGCTGGATCGGGCAGCTAGTACCAAATAAAAATAACAATTATCGATGCGACTAAAAGCTACACATCATTTATAAATACAAACAAAAAGTTTGAGACGAAAGACATCTTCGTGATGTCTCAGAAATGGATCTACTGCTGGTAGTGAATTAAGTTGTGAAAAAAGTTTTGATGTTGTGACGCAAAGTTTTCACCGTTGAGTAAGACCCTTCAACCGACAAAGGAAAATATAATCCGGCCCATTTAAACATCCAAGGTTAGAAAAATTCACACTCGGCTGAAAATTAGTAGGATTGTTCAAAACACTATTATAAATGAAATGTAAAAAGTCCTCATCGATCCGACACCTGGAAAAAAATTACTCGGGTTCAAAAGTCACAAAAACTGGTTTCTCGCGATTTTCAGCAAAACGGTAAGTTTCATCATAAAATTAGACCAGAAAAAAATTGTAGATCAGATAATTGTCTATAAAAAATGTCCAAATACTTCTTTTCCTAAGAGTTGTAATTGTCATAATATGCATACGTTTCCACGCCACCTCTGAGATGGCGTACATGGCGCTTCATAGATTTCTGCTTTTTGAGATATTCCGAAAATTCATCAGTTCTTTCAATACTTACATTGATTAACGTCTTCATACTACGTTCAACAGTAACAATTTCACATTTAATTAAAAGTTTAGCAACAAATAAAACAATATTCTGGCATTTTTCTCATAAAATTCACAGTACGAAATAGGTTAAATATAATATATAAAATTCTCGTGTCACGGTGTTTGTAATTGAACTCCTCCGAAACGGGTGGCCAGATTTTCGTGAACTTTTGTGTGCATTTCGGCCAGGGTGGTGAATCGGACAACATTTTTCATCCCCCTAAATGTTTAGGGTGGACCACCCCAAACATTTTTTTCTACCCTACAAATAATTTATATGGCAAAACAACGCTTGCCGTGTCAGCTAGTAATATATATATAAGTTACAATAATCACGTGTTTTCTCTCCGGAGCCACACTCAAGACTATAGCATTGAATGTATTGGGCATTCTAAGATAAATACTTGCTTACAAGTATACGACTACTCAATCCGTTAGTCGTAAGTGCCGTGACTTACAGACCCCCACCGCTAGTTACGTCCTGCCGCAATTGGCGTAGACCGCGATACGTCCTCGGCTATCTTGACGATGAGACGACTATCGCCATCGACTGAATAAAACAGTTACGTAATCACAACAGAACCAACCACGAATTCAACCAGGCAAGTACCTGGCAGGTTTTCCCCCGTTAATTATAGAAGCATTGCTGGACTTTCTTCCGCCACTTCTCCCAGCACCAATGCCTTCCGAAGTGATAGTAACGATAGCTTTGGAAATTCTCTCAATTAGACTATAGCTACCGATCGAGCCGAGATCCGGCCCTCTCGGGGGCCCTTGAGACTTGTTACTCCATTGAGCGTCTGCCAAAGCGCCCTAAGAGCTTGGTGGCGTCCCAAACCGGTAAGCATAACAATCCCTCCAAGAAGGCTCCCTCGGGAGCCCTCGAGCTTGGTCACTATAATGCGTAACCAAGGTTCAAGCTAAAAACTCGGGAAAAAACAGTTTTTGTAACCTTTGACCCCGAGTAATTTTTTTCTATGAGGACTTTTGACATTTCATGTATAATAGTGTTAACCGAACTAATAGTGCATATTTTTAGGTTATTACACCTACCACAATCTCTCTTCTCGCCCCGGGTTGACTGGGAAAGAATGCCCTAGTGGCCCATTGTAATCCTTTTTTTAAGTTTTACAATAAAGCTTAAATAAATAAATAAACCATATAAGAAGACTTGTATTGCATACCGAAATTAAGATCATTTGAAATTTGAGTAGATCCTTTTCTTAGCTACGATCTAAGACATTATTTCTAAAAGATTTTTATAGTTTACTAGCAGACCGGAGGACATACGTTGTTTTGTATAAGTCTTAAATCCGAAATTTTACATTTTTAATAAGTTTATGAATCTAAACCATTTTCGGCTCGTCCTGATGACACAAAAAATTTCATTAATCGATCCAGCCTTTTATGAGGAGTTCAGTGACATACACACGTACAGAATAATTATATATATATAAAGATTAGAAATTTGGTTTGTTTGGTGCGATAGTTTTGGGTAAAAATAATATTAGACGTATGAATTAGTATTTACTTTCAATTACTAATAGTAGAAGATTTTAATATAATAGTAACAATTTCTAAAATTTATAAGATCTGTTATTTGCTTAGTACAGCGTACGATTTGTTGTTTATTCGAAATAAAATCAGCTTGAACTTACTATATTCCGTGTCATTTTCTTAAGTAACCACTCCTCCAACTCATTGAGGGGTATACTGTTCAAGACATACGACTCCAAGACGTCTCTGTTCCTGTCAAGGTAGTCCACTATTTCCAATACTTCACCATTTTTGGCGCGTCTTGCTGCACACACGTAAGGTGTAAGAATTAGTGCGTATAGAGGGCAGAGGTGGCAGTTCAAGTAAAATCTGAGCCGTTATTACGCTTGAATTATATCATGTAAATGATTTTTTTTGACATTTGAAACAATATAATAATTTATATACGAGCTGGTGGTTATTACTTAACATGAAGTGATAGCCGCCGCCCGTGGACGTTGTCACCTCTTAATAAAGTGGGCCACGGCTACCTCACTCGCCAGATGAAACGCAGAAGTATAACACTTCCCCTTCACACCGGACTTCTGTGATGTCCATTTCCTGCAGTAATGTATAAAGATACATTATAACATCATAGTTATAACGTATCTTTATAATTATAACTCTATGTCGTCTAACATTTCGTTCTCTGTGACTAGGTTCGTTACATTTCGCATTGGCAATCCCGCATTACCGCATGCGATGATCGATAACAAAACTATCGATCGCTACAAATCTAAGTTTTTTTTTATGTTATAATATTTAATGGGCAAGAGAGCTGGCGGTTCACCCGATGATAAGTGATAACCGCCTCCCATGGACATTACAACATACGTAATGTTAAAGATGTTATGTTATTACCACTTTTTAACACAGTGTCGACTGTGCTAGGGCAACGCAAGTGTTCACTGTAGCACGAATGGGGAGGTCCGTCCGGGTAAGTACCACGACCGCACAGAGGTTCAGCGTTTCGTTAAATTAATAAATTATAAATTAAAATTTTACATGAAGTCGAAATGAAACGCTTTAAAATCCGTTAAATTGTTCAATGTAATAACTTAATCAATTTATAGAAACGCAAATATAAGAAATTAATTGATACTTGATTCTTATATTTAGTACTGAGATTCATCATTTCATTTTCTTTTAGACAACTGAACCTCTTAGTTAGTAACAAATTCTGGTATTTTTGCATCCGAGTTAGAATTCTTTTTATTTTTAATATATTACATAAAAATCATTTTATAGTAACAGTTACTTACTGTGGAATATTTATATATGATATTATTATTCGAAGACTAAACTTTGTCTTTTTTAATTAATTAAATTTATGCTACATACTTCGCTAATATTGGGATCTTGGAAGGAGTTGTGTATCTTTGCAATATACCTAAATAATCAAGTTAAAGCACGGACACCATCGCTACGCTTTTGTAGTATCTTCGTCTAAAACCAATTCTCACAAAGAAGACAAGGTTTATAACGCTGGCTCGAAACTAAAGTGACAGGTACTTTGTATCAAAAAAGAAATAATTTCAATTGGAGCCTTTGGTTGAAACTTTCCGAAATTTTTAATTACCTTTAGCCGAAGGGAACAAAGAACTCTGCGATTTACTCAGCTTGTAGTTTTTACCTGCAATTTTCAAACAAAAATAATGGTTCTTTTATCTTATAAATGAGCTTCAACAGCATCTAAACACAGCATGGCAAACTGATGAATCGCCCAAAAAGTGAAGCCTAAAAAGTTCTATATTCAAAGTTTTTATTACACCTATTTAAAAAACATTTACGTAATGTTGTTTCACTTCAGTATATGTACGAAATTTCCTTCATACTTTTCAGCTATACAATCTGCCTTTTTACGTCCTGCACTAAAGTTTTAAGACCTTCTGATGCATGTCTCGCAGACGAAATGTTTACAGCTTATGTTTATTTGTTGAAATAAAAAGAAATCCGTCTATGTCAAATTGAGGCTGCTTAGCCAGCGGTGAGCACACCAGCATGCCGACCAGATGCAATCCCCTATGCCCCGTTTTCACTGGGTATTTATTAATGCTGCTTCCACTGACTAAAGACGCCCGTCAAATCGACAAAAGTGATCCTTAAAACCATCCTTGGGCTTCTCTATTACTTTACTAAGATATATTATTGTGCCTTAATTCACAATGAAATAGTCAACTATCATGTCGTTTCTAAACTACATTAATATATAAAAGATTTATATATTAATGTAGTTTTAGTATTTTAGTATTTTTATTATAGTTTTTATTTTTTTTTTTTTTTTTTTTTTTTTTTTTTTTTTTTTTTTATATATATATACATCAGGATCATAACTTTAGTAAGCCTTTAAACTTATTCTTCCGAGAGACAGAAATATATAGTCAACGCGAAACTATGCTCCTAAAAAAGGTACTCAAGCAAAATAACCACATAAATTCCATGATACGTGCTAAATATCTGCATTTGTGACTGGATTATCTTTTCCAACTACATTTTTCTTAGCTATAACATTTCCTTTCCTAAGAACCACAATAAATCTACTGTTTTGTTAATATCCAAAACTTTTTCAAGCTTACTAGAATGTAATGGCCATACACTTACATCTCACAAAGGCGTTTTTGCTAAATGTCATTTAAAGAGAAATTAACGACTCGTCTAGTTTTGAGCTACATAAACTCATCGAGGATTACCTCGATCAGTTTATGTAGCTCAAAACTGTGAAAGCTGTGTATGCGCCGCAATATTAATTTCGGCGCATACACAGCTTTCAATAACACTAAGTATTTTAATGAAGCTCTTCAAAAATTTGAAATAATATTTAAAGGGTATGCGTATGGGTATATAATATTTATGCGTATTTTCAAATTAAACTAATACTGCTAGTTTCATACAAACTTCGCAAAAGTTTCTGAGTGGCTCTTACATTGTTATGTTACTACCCTCTGGGTCATTGCTGGGCTCTAATCAGCGTAGCAATATTTTATTCGATAACAGCTATGTAATATGTCAGTAGCGGTTCAGTGTACCTCAGTTAACTTCGGCACATTAAATAGTATAACATAAAACAAATTCAATAGTAGAGTCGCCTATTTTTACACATATACGTCTATTTTTGTCGACATTTATCCAAAGTACTTGGTGAAATATTAATTATATTACACCAAAAATCACGACCACATCATAAAATATCATAAATTAACTGGGTTCAAAAGTCATATCACATACATTATTACTTTTTAACCCAGAGCCATGGCATCGATGGCTTATCGACGCTGAGTAGTCGTGTATACTCACCTCAATGCCTGAACGAAGAAATTTTCTTGTTTTCCGACTACCGTGCATATTTGTGTCCGATTCACAATAATAATCTCACCAATTGAAGTAAATAACCTCGGTGATACATTGTTAGCACCCGATATTTGTCTATCCCGCTTTGGCTTTATATCAGGAGGAATATGGAACTAACTTAATCACTTACTTTGTCCTGGAACTCTTTTAGACTTTGCCCCTGACCAATCCATGTAAGCTGAATCCCGCTTGAAACAGTCTTTGTGGTAAGGCGACCACAGTTTTTCCACTAGTGGCGATTTCAGGGATTTATTTGGTACGGAGCTAATATCTGGAAATTATTAAATTGTCTGTTTATTCTATTACATGATACGAAAACAATAACACAATATGTAAACACCGTCCAATTGTTCTCATATGCTATGTAAATTCGAACTTATGCATGTTGTTATTATGATTCAATATTAATTATGAAACGAGCGACCGCGTAAGCGTTTAAATACAATATTAATCGTTTCAATTAACAGATGTTAATGCTCTTTATCACGGTTATAATAATTATTTGTAAACATAGTTACAGGCAGCGTCCAGTTAGTGAATTCAGCATCTTAAACTAAGAGGACGGAGCATACTCAGTTTTACGTACGCGAACATAACATGTTATGTATTTGTTTGCAATCACGTTTATTTACATTGTTAGCGTCATTAAAAAACAGCGCAGGTCGGGATCGTGGTGACACAAGATAACGGGTATGAAAAATAACTTACTAAATATAGCGATGTCGCCCTCTGAGACAATTGGTGGGAGGAGCCGCGAAGAAGGCTCGTTCGTGCGCGCTGTCGGCGTGCATGCGAGCTCGCAGTGTGCCGCCAACTGAAGCGAGCCAATTCTGCTGTTGCTCAACCACGATTGGTACTCGACGGATGCGCGGATAAAACTACATAGACGTTTTCTCTGCACAAGTTGCAAAGCAAGCGGCGCTAGCTTCCGGCTTCGGCCCCTTATTTTAACATTAATGGGCGCCAACAGAACGTCACGGGACTAGTTTTCTAAACAATGTGTATCTGTATCTATTATGTATTTATAACGTACGGAACAGACAACAATTTTCATGACCCATTCATCAATTAAAACCAATACATAAACAATCAGCTGTCCCCCGCCTCAATGGTTAAATTGTAAAAGCTCCTTTATGTCAACAAAGACGTCTATCTTTTTTGCATAATTATTAAAGATAAAGAAGGTCAGGTCACGGGGACTTATTCTGCTAGTAGTTTTCCGATGCTTAACAGAGGAGTACAGTGTGCGGCGACCTAAGCCTCTCCACCTATATCTAGAACATTCTCCGGGTCATTTAAGCACTTTGCGTATTTTTCCTAAATACAGGATAGAGCCGTAAGAATAAAAATTAGAGATATTCCCACATTCGAAAAGTGGCAGGAATAAGTCGTATTTTTCCTAAATCCATGGTAGAGCTGAAAGGCGAAAATTAGAGACATTCCCACTTCTAAAAAAACTGGCAGAGATCAAAAAGATTATCCATAATTATTGACTGCATGACGTTTCAGAAGGATTTGTTTATTACGAAACTCAGGATTATTATTTCCTTGATTACTAGGCGAGTATATGGGATTTTCAAACGCTATTCAGGAAGAAAAGATCAAATCCTTCAGAAGCATAAAGTACAAATACTTGATGAAGTTGTAAAAATTGTATTATCTTCGTATTAGAGTAAATAAAAGCTAATTTGTGGAAATTCAAACATTCTACTGAAATGAAAATTTAACTACCGCCCAGTTAAGTTAGATACTTAAGGTAACTAGTGGAAATTTGGATTATTTTTATTAGGCTGGCTTGTTGCGTCACCATGAGTTCTATTAATATTTTTATGGATTGTTATTTGAAATATCTATTGAACAAATTGAAATATTATGTACTTCATTGGTAATAAACGCTTCTAGCATATCATTCACTCTATCTTTCCTATAGATATCGGGGGAAACCGAGTTACAGACAACATTTGATGAAATAAAATTTGAATCCCGAATGGAACATGATACACAGTGAATTTTTTTACAGATATTGATTAGGTTAGTTTGAGATTATATAGAGATAATGAGCGAGTGGGACAAACGTCTTAGAGGATTTAATAAAGAAAGTGGTGAAATAATGAAAGCCGGCGGATTAACAACAAGTTATATTTTATAAACATTATAATATGCAGTTATGTTTAAAAAAAATTGCCAGGGTTATTCATTTTGACGCGTTGATTACAAAGTTTATTTTACATAGTGTAAATCAGTAAATTAGTATATGTAATAAAAATATAGTCAATTATTAAATGTATTTGGTGTAAAATGAGTTATAATATAGTTAATGAACTAAATCCACACACTAGGATAATTTGGACACTTTCTGAATTTACTGGATTTAAAGAACACCTACGATATGTAATTAATTTGATCCGCGCATTAAACTCCGTCGGGGCGCGCAAGGAGAAAACATATACCCTTATGAAGTAACATAGAAAATCCATAACTTTATGGAAGATAAAGATGTAAAAGAGTCCGAAACATTGCCTTTCCCATATTTTCCAGAATCAGGCATTTCATTTTTATATACAGAGAATCTGAATGCTATTTAAATATTGTCACTAAATATACTAGTCCTACATAAATATATTGTGTCACATAACGAAGACGAATCATTTGATACCTAATACGTTAAATATTAAAATTCATCAAGTTTTTCAGACTACAACATGTCCCAAAGAAAAATTGATATTAATTGTACGCTCGACAAACATTACACTTTCTTTTTCGTGTAAAAAGATTTCAGACGCCTCAGTTATTAATTAAATTGAATATTATAAAACTGACAACACTTTAATGCACAACAGAAACCTGTGCATTATCTAATCGAAGCAGGAGCACTGAACTGCAGTCGATTGCATTTGGCCGCTCTAAAGTCAAATGTTTTTGCAATGTAGCCCTATTTTTATTAGGTTATATTTGTTTTTAGGAAATAAAAGTTGAGCTGGAATAACAATTCAGATTTGATGCAGTTATCATTTAGTCAATTTAAAACATACGCGAAGGAAATAGAAAATGAAATGCAAAGGACACCTTACGGTCGATAAAGACTGGCCAACGTTATAGCCACAAATATTTGTGGAGTAATCTAACGGTATTGGATGTATTTGGGGGTATACTCATTAAGAAGAGTGCTTAGCTCTTATGTTCCAGACACGAAGGCATGGTTAGAAAAAGGGCCATGTTATGAAATTTATGGAGTCGGTCATATAATCAACAAATGAGTAAATTAAGCCCAATAACCATTTTGGTTAACATTTAATTTTGAAACAAATCGATACTTTGGTAAATTGTTATTGTTTCATAGTTTTACGTTACGGGGCGTTTGAAATTTCAAGCTTCAGCTTTAAGCTAGTATTAAATGACTTGAGATAATAGTAAAATAGTATGTCGTCCACAATTTTAACTGTGTTTTATGTACTTTTGAAATGAACGGCATTGAAATTATATAAACGAAATTTCTATAATATTAAGTTTCATACTCTGCCAATTAGCCTCAAAACCTTTAAGATCCGAAATTATCGAGAGAAATTAACTTAAAACAGTTATTTATCCGGTACTTACTTATTTGTCAAAGTTTGTACATAACTTCGTACTTACCTTTAATTTTTCCGAGGCACCTTCTTCATACAATTCCGATCCTGCCCTTTGCGACTTTTTGCGGCTTTTTTCCCATAGAAGTTCAGACATTTCCATTGTGACAAGTATATAGGCTATTCGGCAAAATGTAACACGTCCATTAAAAAGCCATATGCTGTAAATTATTGAAAAAGTAATAGAGAACAAATATTAGGTAGCTCTGCGCTCTTATCGTAAATACTAGGTCGTCATTTGATACATAGTAATTGTCATTATGATAAACACGGATTTTGCGGATACTGCATTATCAATTCCACGTATTGACGCATCTCCTTTGTGCAACAACGATACACATGTTCACAGCTTAGGAAATATCATGCCACTTATCAACAGACACCATATTCAATTAAATTTACATGCCACATTTCTATTTTAAGCCATTATACGCTGTTTAGATAGTCTAAGTTTAAACCCTTTGTAGTCATTTCATAGCACAGTCCGTCTTTTATAGTCGACCGTCGATCATACTTTATATATTTTGTCGTGTATACATTTTATGAAATAAAACAATTGTTTTAGTATCCAAATGCTTATCATACCCGTCAGTATTTTGACTACTGAAACAACTCGTCGATGAAGCGCGGCGATTATCTACTAATGAAATATTGCTTATTTTAATGATATTAGGAAATTTTATATTAGTAGTGGATATTGGGTATATGTATTTAATTAGGTTGTTTACTTTTTGAATGAACGACAAACAGCTATTATTTTTATTTTATTTGATTTTTATTTATATTAAACAAACAGATTTATTACAAATGTTAAATTTTGGTGTGAATATAATTCAAGACGTTTAAAACAGTATAACACAAATTGCTTTATGTTTATCATTAGGTATAGAACGTGTCGCACACGCGTTTATCATTAGGTATAGAACGTGTGTAGAACACGCCTTACGCTACTTGCCAATAATCTTAAAAAAATAAACGTTAAAAAAATCTAAAATTAAAAAAAAATTTCAAATAAACTAATTAAATAAAAAAGAAACGAAATTTGTAACATCTCTTGTTTTATCTCTTTTAAATTCATTCAAACCAATCATATGCTTTGTGACCTTTACAAATGAACTTTTTTACATAACAGTTTTATACATAAAGGTGTTCTAAAACTGTTTGTTTTGAAAAATTTAGTAACTCGGTAAATATTGATGTTTAAATAATGTAAATGTTTTTATAATATTTGGTTTAATACAATTTTAAAAATTATCCTTTATATATGTGTTCATTTATTGTCTCGGTTGTAACGACGCGCTATATATTTATAATTGTCCAACCAATTTAAGAACTTTGAAACATTATCACTAAAACAATGAAATAATATTAACGTTAATACACTGATACATGAAATTTTGCGCCTTACAAACTTCGGCGGCAACTTTTTAGTTCATGTGAAATCACGGTTTAATTCGGTCTAGAAAATTGTCCTTTAGAAGCCACTATAGCGTGTTGGCCCACTATATTAATAACATATTTCATTGATGTCACGAATAAAACATAAATATAGGTATACATTTTGTCATTGATTATATTAGAATAAGTTGTTATACATTATAAGCTGTTGTTTCTGTTCGCACAACACTAACACCATACAAAGGGCGATATGAGGAAGTTCCCTTCTGGCTGCGACGGAATGACGTTCTAATATTGAAACATGACATTCCTAAACTAAATGCTTACTTCGTAATGTTTGTTTTACGTATTCATTGAAAACCGCCAAAAAAGAAAAGAAGAAGAAGAAGAAGAATGTTTGTTTTAACCCTGCTTCAACCACTTAAAAGTTCATAACTGATAAAAGTCTTTCAGAGATTAGAAAACCCTAATGGGAATTTGACTTATAATTTCGCAATGTATAGGTGTATCTCTACTGTAATCATGCCAATACACTGCTTGGGCGCTAAACTTAAGCTCAAATCATTATAGCATGACAGCTACGTACTTACTGCGTACTTTGTGTACGAATTAAATTGTAATGGCAAACGTGGGAAAATGCATAATAGCGAAGGAAATCATGTGTTAAGGTAACCGTAAAATTTAAAATTGGAATGATAGAGATTTGGGAAATGCCATTTAAGTGTGGAGGTGGTTGCTATAAATCAACATAGACAATACAAGAAGAGAATCGTACAAGTATATTCGTCATGTCGTAAAGTAAATGACAAAATAATTCAAACTATACCGACCTTTGTATAAAAAAAAGTTGCAGTGCTCACAGCGATCGCGAGCAAATCAACACTTAAAATTAATTCTCAACGTGTCCGCTCCGGTGGGTGTCCGAAAAACAATGAGCAGTTATGGACCGTTCTAAATGGAAGAACCGATCGCTCTAACTGCGAACTTGCGGTATTGGGCGATACCTTAATTAATCAAAAGTAATATAATATACGTTTACAGACTAAAATTATGTCAATATCAATAAAAAAAACTTCTTTATATCCCAGGAAAACTTTGGTTCTTCAACATTTAGAATATTTTTGGAAGCTATTTAATTTTTAATTGAAATAAAAGTGATTACAAGGTGGCCTAGCGATGTATGTCATTATTATCCATGGATGAATCGTACATAGTCCAGGAGAGTGAAAATTGCTGGGTTAGAATCCAACATGAAAGTCTAAGTAACAGACGTATAGAACTTTTTATTAAAGTAGATAACTATATTCGGAAGGAAAGGCTATTTATTGCGCTTATTACGTTATCAACTATCAGAATTATTCCGCTCCTTTAAGATCTATGAATTGAAACTCTTAGTTTCACAAATGAACCAAAGTTTGTATGGAAATTGTATAAACCATACCGTATCTTATCTTTTGAAAGCTTATCATAAATGAAAGAGGGAGAGAGAACTGGTTCAATATCCGACAAATATATTAATTTTATATGATAAGAACAAACAAATAATATTCAATAGTGTGCAAGTCATTCGCATCGTGTGGACATATCTTTATCTTTTCCCACGTTTTCTCGATTTTCCGCTTCACTTCAAATATACACTAACTAAACGCACCAATCTTTTAAAACCACAAAATCTTTTTAAATTAAGATTTTTGTAAACTGTACGAAATATGACTTCTTTCATTTGATTTTAATTAAGATCTTATAATCATCACATGAACATGTTCTTTTATTAGTATACTAGCTATATAGAACCGCCCCGGCTTCGCACTGGTGCACTGTAATATACATATAAACCTTCCTCTTGAATTAATCTATCTAGTAAAAAAAAACCGCAACAAGATCCGTTGCGTAGTTTTAAACATCTAAGCATTCATAGGGACAGACAGACAGCGGGACGACTTTTTTCTATACAATGTAGTTATTACTAAACTATATAGTCTGATGTAATAGATAAAATAGACGAGAACATTTTCGAAAACTCTGTAAAGTTCAGTAGAAGATTTGTCCGATGGAATTACAGAAACTCACTTGTTATATCGGCAGTACTTGAATGGTGATCAATAATTGAGGATATTAATCCCTATGTAATTAATAGCGTCTTCCCAGACTGAAACATATCGATATCTTGATATGACTGTGATAGGACCACAAAAATCGTCTTCGCTGATGCATGAATGGGCAGATCTTCTGGGTAAGTACCACGACCTCTCAGAAGACCGGCGTGAAGTAGAAGTGTTTCACTTCTGCATCTCGTCTGGTGAGTGAGGTAGCAAGAGCCCACTTTATTAAAAGGAGCATCTACAAACATACGAGTGTTGGAAATGTAAACGGGCTGCGGTTATCAATTACATACATCAGGTGAAACGCCAGCTCGATTGCTATCTTCTCACATAAAAAAATGACACAAAAAACAGGTAACGAAGATGCATCTGTGGAACTATGAATTGATAAATAGTCTTTTTTGCGTTAGACACGTGTGCTCGGCAAAACTAAGGGAGAACAAGTTGTTTGTTGGATGAGTTTTAGTTTTGTGGCATGCCATCTTGCTAACAATGAAATTATAGTTAGTTCTGATGCTCAGTATTAGTTTACAAGCTACAAGTACGCATTATTGCTTAAATATTGCGTTAAATTTGGCTACCGATTATGTAAAGGTGACTAGAGCTTACAGATGACTCATGTTTTAGTACTGCCTGGTTTCTTCTTATGTTGTCAACATGTTCATTGAGGATTTTGAACAGAAAGCCTTTAGTGGCATAAAATAAATGTGTTTTAAAACATTATATTATAGCGTAAAAACTAAATTCAATGGAATAAGGGACATGCAACTCTTTGGCTTTCCTAGATGTTCTTTTTACCGTAATCATAAAAACATTTAAGATTCATTAAGTTTCATAAGAACGCGCAAGCGTCTATGTGAATAAAGATATTTTATTATTATTATTATTATACAGAGAGCACCAGGGATCTGAGGACAAACCTCTAACAATACCTACAGTGACTGAGGGAAACAGGGCTTGGTTGACCTAGTACATACAAGAAGATAAGTCTGTTAATACTAGCTCTCAAGTGCTTCTGCTTCAAAATTCGGAACAGTTAAAACTTTAACTCTCCTGAGTCTTCACTTTTTTTTTTATGCGAAAAAATGCCAAGTGAGCAGACGGTTCACCTGATGTTAAGTGAACACAGCCGCCCATGGACATCTGCTACACCCGAGGGTTCCAAATGCGTTGATAACCTTTTGAAAATTGGGCTATATCTATCTCTAGAACCAGAAAACCAAGTAAGAGACATCAAGCAAAACAAACTAAATAAATGTGTAGTTTCAAATACTTAATGTATCAGATTTGATAGACTATAAATCCCAATAGTTCTCGTAATTTAAAGTGGGTGGGCTCTACCATCGGCTTGGGATTCTGTTATATATTAAATTAAAGCCAGAACTGAACACGCCACCACTGCATGGCTTAGAGATATAGTTAGGTCGAAGACGGTCAGCCGACAGCAGCCGAGTTCACAGTAACATCCGAGCAAGAATAAGCCACGTGAGTTTGCTGTCAGCATTATTGGAGGTTACACTGTTTCGGTCTGATTTGCTCGAAAATTTCACTGTACGGCTGTTTTAGATTCATATTGGCGACGTTTTATTAATATACCAATTCACAATGTAAACGCTTTTACACATGTTAGTACAATTGCGAAAACTTATACGTAAATCTTTACATCATGAGATAAGTACACTACTTTGCGCAGTTTACTTATTATGATTTGAAATGTAGATACTTAAAAAAATTCTCCATCGTTCAGGCAAGATTGCTTCAACTGAGCATATCTGTGCGGATCATCAATGTTGTGTCAAATATGTTTTAAGTAGACGTTTTAAGTAGAAGTAATCTCATATCTGCTAGGTATACTTGAAAAGACTTACCACAAGCTTTCGTCGTAAGTCCAGGCCTATCCATCTCACCCTCAAATGTTTTGAATCTAGCACATTGCCAAATCTGATAATAATGTAAATATTATTCGATCCTTGCCAAGTGTGGGCTGCCATCCTTACACCCTAATACTATTTACAACGTTCTGCAACGAAGTCATTTTGATTATGCTCCATTTTTACTAAAGCAATGTAACAAAAGTTCTCTCAGAACTTTATTAAAATCCACTCGAAATACTCTCGTATTTAATGGTTGTATAAGGTTTATTACAACCGACATATTAAGAGCAAAGGTGATTTCTCTCATTATAAATGTTAATCGTTAAATACTTATTCTTTTACGGGTGCTAAATTCTGTAAAATACGCGTACTAGATGGCGCCAAGCATTGCTTAGAATGCATTAATGAACTTAGATGGATGTCAAGATTCGCCGTGAGTCCATAGGCCGTTTAGTTTCGTTGGTAAAGCGTCTGTGCAAGTTGCATGTTCGAATCCGGCGGCGCTGAAATTTTGGTTTATTTATCTTAAATCTTATCCTTTAAACGAGCAATTCTCGTATATATATACAGCGTGTCGTTACCATCGCGACAATAAATGAACACACATCTAACGCTACTTGCCAATAATCATAAAAAAATATTAACGTTAAACAAAATCCATAATTAAAAAAAAATATTTTTCAAACAAACTAATTAAGTAAAAAAGAAACAAAATTTGTAACATCCTATACAACTCGCGCCAAAGCGTCGTATTATAAGCCTCTCCTTCTAACAGTATGTTTTCTCTCTTTTAAATTCATTCAACCCGTTCATATGCTTTGTGACCTTTACAAATGAACTTTACGTTACGCTTTTATAGGTAAGGATGTTCTAAAATTCTTTGTTTTGGAAAATTTAATAACTCTGAAAATATTGATGTTTAAAGAATGTAAATTTTTGATACAATTTTAAAAATTTATCCTCTATATGTGTGTTCATTTATTGTCGCGTTGGTTACGACACGCTGTATATAATTGGTATCTCGGAAACGCCTCCAGCAATTTTCATGAAATTTAGTATGTGCGTAGATTCGGGGGCGAAAAATCGATCTAGCTAGGATTTTTAGAAAATGACCTTTTATCCTTGTTTTAAGAGAATAATAATAAGGAATAAAGATAATAATAACATAAGGACCCTCTCTGAGGCTGAAACATACCGATACCTGGGTATGTCACAAAATATGTGTATCGATGAGGCTGGCATGAAACAGTCAGTTCGTGACGTGTTTTTTGCACGCCTGACAAAGGTGTTTAATAGCCATTTGTCAGGCGTGAACAAGGCACGTGCTTTTAACGGCTGGGTCATGCCAGTCCTCATGTATACCTTTGGCATACTCAAGTGGACTCAAACTGAGCTCAACGCCCTGGACCGAAAAGTCCGCACAACTATGACGTCCCACAGAATGCATCATCCGAGATCGTCAGTGATGAGGCTGTACCTTCCGCGGAAGCATGGCGGGAGGGGCTTTTTAAGCGCCCTCACCATGCACAATCGCGAGGTGTGCAGCCTCCGTAACTACTTTCTGGCGAGATCGGATGAATCAATCTACACGGACGTCATTAGTTGTGATAAAGGACTTACCCCTCTATCCTTAGCCAACGAGCAATGGCAGGACCCGGGAGTACTGAGCGTTTCCGACCGAGAGAGGCTGTATGGAAGGAGAAAGAGCTCCACGGGAGGTTCTACAAGGCTCTACACGAGCCTTTCGTAGATACTGTTGCCTCCCTGAACTGGCTACGTTTCGGTGACCTCTTTGGGGAAACCGAAGGTTTTGTCTGTGCGATACAGGATCAGCTTATTAAAACGAACAACTATAGGAGATACATCCTAAAGGATGGCACCGTCGACATCTGTCGAGCTTGTCGCCATCCCGGGGAGTCGCTTCGGCATGTTATTTCCGGTTGTTCCATGCTTTCTAACTCTAAGTATCTGCATAGACACAACCTAGTAGCCAGAATCCTACACCAGGAGCTCGCTCTGAAATACGGCCTCGTGGTTCGAAAACTGCCGTACTACAAGTACTATCCGGAAGCCGTGCCCGAAAATGACCGCGCCAGGCTCTATTGGGACCGGCCCATCATCACGGACAGGACGATTGTCGCGAACAAACCTGATATCGTGGTGATGGACCGGGCACAGTCGCGGGTATTTTTGGTCGACATTACCATTCCATATGACGAGAACCTCGTGAAAGCCGAAACAGATAAGAAGACAAAGTATGTGGACCTGGCTCACGAGGTGACCGACATGTGGGGTGGTGTGCCGACCGAAATTATCCCGATAGTCCTGTCTGCGAATGGGTTAATCCCAGTCTGCCTCTCCAAACATCTGAGGCGACTGGGACTCCGGGACGGATCGCTCCAAGCTCAAATGCAGTGCTCAAATGCAGAAGGCGGTGCTCCTCGATACCGCCCGCATCGTCCGCCGGTTTCTCTCCCTATCGCCCTAACCCTCGGCCGTTTGGTCTCCCCTGCCGAGGGCTTCCGTCTGGTTGGGTCCTATTTATATATGTATGATATACAACATTATATGCATATGTTTATTTTTATTCATAATATTTATTTTATATATGCAATATGTATCTATATTTTTATTTTTATTTATAAACCCAACCAGACGAGAAAACAAATGAATATCACCCCATAATAATAAAATATCTTTATTCACATAGACGCTTGCGCGTTCTTATGAAACGTCAAAATTTTACAAGAAATTAACACGTTCGTAAGTTACCACCGGTTCGGAAAGCAGTTTCTGTTGAGAAGAAACCGGCAAGAAACTCAACAGTTGCTCTTTTTTTAGAAAATCAGTTTACAATATAACAGTACAGGTACAATAGTCTTGTTTTAGCCTACGTGAGTATCAACAGTATTAACCCCACACATTGGCGTCGTCAAGATATTCGGCAATAGTATAATAGGCTTTAGCTAAATGAAAAATATCATTCGAATATGACGGTAAATTTCGCCGCAAAAAAAAAATGTTATAATAGCTCGGTCGGTAGTCGGGCGGCCCCAAAACAGACGGCCGTGGTTCGTATCACGATCACTTACACACTTATTTTTTTACTTCTTTTTCGATTCCAGATCATTGTTTTCTTAATTTTTTATTTTTTGTCGATTTGTTATTTTGTTATTTTTTTACCCTTTTCTTTAAAGTTCTTTTTTTGTGAAAAACACCAATTCATATTTTCTTATTAATACGACGGTAAGATCGAAAAATATTATGCATATTTCATTACTCAGTAATTTGTATCTAAATGTAATTTCCAAAATACACGGTTTACCAAAAAAAACAAACCGAGCAAAGCTCGTTCCTCCAGGTACTATTTCATTATCACAAAAACATCGTCTTCGAACAATAAATAACATGTATTAATAATAAGAAATTACCGTTTTATTACGGTTTATTTTTATCTTAAAACCTGACATATGCTCCACAGCATACATGGAACTGGCTAGAATGAGACGTTGGGCGACTTGGTGTCATTGTTAACTCCTGGACCTTATAGAAAATTGTTACATTTGATGGATGGAAAAAATTGTCTCATCTTCTTCAGTAAGCCTCTGTAAAATTTTAGATGGAAGATGTGAACAATCCTATCAGTGACTTCTTTTACATATGTCGAACGAATGCAAGTACCTACTCAATCAACGGTGGCTGCTTTCATTCGGTGATACCGTTAGCGTTTGCTACATGAATCTAAACAAAATTAATTACTTTCTGACAGGCGGTAGCGCGTCAAAAATAACTGCTGGACGCCTATTATCTCAGTCCAGTCCGTAATTTGAATGCTTTATGTATTCAAAACTGCGGTTGTTTTAAAGTAAAAGAAACCGCGATTTAGCTTGTAAATTAATACACACATTTGGGCAAGTAAAGAAAATCCTTTTGAAGTTACACTTCTTTTGCTACTTGTGGGAAAAATTATGAGCGTAAAATTTTTACGATTCCCGCGCACACCGACATGATTGCAATTGTATTCGATTTTGTATATAATATTAATTATTTCATTCTATGGTATAATATGTACAATTAATTATCAAACCACAAATCATAAATAATCTGTCAACAGCGACGTTGTTTGTCAAAAATGTAACAGCAAAATTTTCATTGAGCGCCTAACCCAGCATTGACTAACTGTGTTTGAGAATTAACAGTGTTCATTGGCGTATTCATTGAAAACCGCCAATAAAGAAAAGAAGAAGAAGAACCCCGCATTGCATATGGACCGCCAACTGCCTTAAAAGAAGAAAAAGAACCCAGCATTTTTGTCGATCTTGTTTTATCTGCAATATGACTGAGAGGCGGAGCGATGGCGGGAAATAGGAAACGCGTCATAATGGTAAAACGGATCGACGCCAACAATGGTGGGCTTCCAACGCAATGACAGTCTCACCCACGGCCAAAAGTTCCTTGCGGGCTGTTTTACCGGAATGATTGCGCGCCTAGTCACGCAGCCCATAGACATAGTGAAACTGCGGACTCAGTTGCAAAAGTCTCGGTACGGGAGACGCGTCAGCATGTTATCCATAACCAAGAAGATTATCCAGGAGGAGGGTGTTAAAGCCCTCTTCCACGGCCACTGCATCGGGCAGGTATTTTAAACAGCATCTGTTGCATTCGTATGGAATATTGTTTTTTTTTATTGTTAGTTTTTTTTATTTATTCGAAACTGACCAGCGCTTGACTGCCATCCCACCTTGATGGTAAGTGTGCTAGCCTAGTAAAAACCTATTCACTGTTGCCTTGACGCCTACGTTATATAGTCGTGGTATAGTTAAGTATTATTATATTTTAAGGGGATTCTGTACAAAATATATCAAAACATAATCAGCGACGCGGATCCAGTGTGGAAACCCGACAGACATCACGCTTCAAAATATTCTATTTATTATTTCTTATATAGGTACAATGTTTTGTTCATGATGTTTTTATTGAACGGGATCACGCAATGGGCACTTAAAATTTTAAATAACATTATTTATTCGTTATCGGCAACGAAATTTGAGCTCAGGATCTTTTTTATATCCACTTTGATGAATACAGATGCGCAAAAACATAATAGTGACATTGAAGGTAAAATAAATATGGATTCTGTGTCACTGATATCACTTGCTTAATACTTAGACTCATTGTTTATTCGAATGAACAAATAAAGTTCGAAAACACGTTTTTTATCAAAGTAAATCATCTTGGAATTTTTTCTACATTATTTGATTGGACTGAATTAAAATTTCACTAACCGCTTGCATTTTAACTCCCCTCCGGAACACCACAATGTTGTTTGTTTTGAGCCGTATCTCCATAAAAGGCCTGGAGCCACCTCAACATCATTTTATGAACCATTGTCTTTAGCTACTTTCGCCCTTGTGAAGGAATAAAATGAGATAGTCCATTACAATAAATGTCTTATTAATTTCGCAGTTACACTCCATATTAGCGGTGTGCACACAATTTTTCGTATACGAATTAACCACAAAAGAAGTTGTATATTCAGAAATAGATGAGAAGCATAAGTGAGTATATATAGGATTACCTACTTAATTTGACATTGTTATTGCTAAAATTTGAACATTTTAATATTAAAGGGTATTATTTGACTATAGCATGCTCGCATACATTTGCAGTATAGGCGATAAAAAACTTACATTTCAAACCCTCTTATACTTTTGCTCATATAGCTCTTAATCGACAGGTCAAGAATGGAGTTTGCGTGTGGCATTTTTGCGGGCTGTTGTGCTGCCACAGTGGCCTTGCCTCTAGAAGTAATAAGAGTGAGACAGATGATAGTCAAGGAACAGTATAAGGGACTATTAAATGGCGCGAAAAGTGTATACAACACGGGAGGCATATTGGCGTTCTACGAAGGCCTGTCTGCTTCTGTGCTACAAGTATGTCGTCGGTAATGGTCGATTGACCTTCACACCACAATCACGTAATAATTAATAGACTATTGTTTTACTGAGGTGCGAGATTTTGGCGTCCACTTTTCGTACTACAAAGAAGTTTTCGAAATTAATGGCTCCGTGGCGCAGTTGTTGAGATACCGGCTCCGGCGTCGGGGTCATAGGTTCGATTTCCACACTGAACAACTATTGTAACCACAGACAATTGTTTCGGATCTGGATGTGTGTGTGTCCACGTGAAATGTATGTATTTAAAACGTCCGAACAACACAGGATAATATTATCTTACAATATGGGCAAACATTCTTTTAAAAAAAAATGTTGTCGTATAATTTGAAGCTGCTCCTCGTAAAGACAACAACAAAAGTCTTCGTGTTAGAAATCTAACGTTTCAATTAGACAAAGCCTAGTTCTATTAGTTCCCAACAGTGGTGCGGAAATGACAAATTAATAGCAAAAAAAATATAAACATTGCTGAACATCGTTTCTTATGAGAAAAGTTGGTAAGCGAGTAGTTGGTTAACCTGGTAATGAGCGATTGCTGCTGCACATGCAGTACAGTCTTTACCATAAGGGCACACGGGGCCTGTGCCCAGGGCCACGTATCGTCAGAGGGGCCCTAGATAGGCCGGCGATAAATCAGTTCATGTAATATAAACAGTTTATTTAAATGGCCAAGCAATAACAAAATGTTAACAACAGCTTATATTTTCCACGGGACACAAAGTGTGCCCGTCGGAAAGCTATAAAATTTTAGGGATAAATTCAATCCACGCTTCTGAGGTGAGGTATTTGTACATCCCGGTACGTTCTCAGATGACTTTGTACACATGGACACCTAAAAAACCTGACGGGTGACAGATGCGTTGCCGCCACATGGACCTCTTACTTAGCAATAGTTCCAATTTTCAATTAGCAATGAATGCAGGATACTAGAATCATGACGCACGAATTTGTTTTCAGTACGGCCCGGCGGTAGGGGTGTCGTTCTCGGTGTTCCGTTTCATGCAACCGCTGATATTGGGAATGCTGCCGAGCTGCGGCCCAGAGTGTGACGCAACCCTGAGCGCCGCCCACAAACCCTCGCACGTGGTGCTGGCGAGCATGGTGGCCGGCGCCACGGCCGGATTCGTCTCGAAGACGGTGACCTACCCGTTCGATCTCGTGAAGCGGCGTTTGCAAATTGGCGTGAGTTGCCTTATCTTTACATAGAACAAAACAAAACCGCCGTTTGTACGCTTTGATCTTTTAAACTGCGCAAAGGATTTTAATTCAGTTTTCAGCAATAGATTCAAGTGGAAGGTTTATGTACGTATACGTAGTATGTATACCTGCATAATATTATAGTTGAGGCAAGCCAAAAAATCCAAAGATTTGTAAAGTGATGACGTAACAAACATATTTTTATGCGCTTACATTGCAAATGCTGGAAGTACAAGACAGATCAAATAAATGAATGAATAAATAATCTTTATTGCACGCACCACAAAAATACATTAAAATGGTGGCAATTCCACCAGTGCATAGCCGGAACGAGTTGCTAGTTATATATATTCGCATAAATAATTTCAAATTTTGTTGCACCAATGGGCAGGTCCATCGAGAAATTACCACAAGTTCTGCGTTTCGTCTGGTGAGTGAGGTAACCGGGGCCACTTTAATAAAAGGTGTCAACATCTATGAAACCCTACGGGTATTTTAAATGTTAATGGGCGGCCATCAATCGTTTATTTGTAGCTTTATTAACATAATCATCAAAATTAATGACATGCAACACAAAGAACACAAACACCTAAGTGTTTTCATTTTCAAACATTTTAAAAAATATATCCTAATGGAAAAGGCGTCTTATTATGTCTGAAAATATATTGAGTCCAAGCATGTGTGGAAATAATTATTTTTCTGCACTTGCAAGTCCCCTGACTGCTGCTGTATTTATATTAGGTCCTTACATATGAAATTAGCGTTTTGTCGTACTGACCACTTTGATCTGAAATATCTCCTCTTTGGTTAAGAATTCCAAATTCAAATTTATAAATTTTATCATTATCATTTAGCTAGTACATTTGTATTTTGAAAATAGTCATTCATTTGTTTCTTCCTCATTATTTTATGCTTTGGCGTCGCTTATTACCGCAATACAGAAAACATGAAATATCGATATATTTACGAGTACGAGTTCTACCGTGGCACCAGCGCTGCAGAAACAGCTCGAAGGATTAGTGATGTGGCGCTGGTGTCGCAAAACAAAGCAGGGTACGTTTTTGGTTTCAACGTTTTCGTTCTGAAAATTCCAACCTTCAGAACCAACCCCGTGGACGGCCGGAGTTTGGTCTCTCGGTCTCAATCGCAAAATCGCAAAGCCTCTGGCTGGTCTTCGGAGTGGAAAATGAAGAATTAAGGGCTAAGGCCCTAAGCACTCGTCGGAATGGCTGAACGCTGGAAATCCTGCCCTAAACGAAAATTGACTCAGAAAAAGTTACTTGTGAGTGTTTGGTGAACTAACGCTGGTGTCGTTCACTACAGCTTTCTTAAATCTGGCCCAACGATTACGGCAGATATCTATTGTCAGCAACTGCAAACCATGAAGGAAGAACTAGCTGCTAAACAACCGAGATTGGTCAATCGCTCTAGGCCACTGCTGCTTCATGACAACGCAAGACCACACACTGCACAACAAAGAACCACTAAGTTAGATGAGCTACAAGTGCAATCTCTGCGTCATTCATCGTAAAACCGGACCTTGCTCCAACAGTTTACCATTTTTTCCGGAATTTGGCCAACTTCTTAAAGGGAAAAAATTCAACCCCCATGCGGCAGTCCAAACCGTCTTCAAACAGTTTACTAATTCTCTCCCCATGGTTTTTTTAGTAAAGGGATCAATGAACTGCCTATGAGTCGGCAAAAGTGCATAGATAACAACGATGCATACTTTGATTAATTAAATGTATTTTACAAAAGAAATTGACTTTATATTCCTCCCGTACAAAACGCCAATTTCATATGTAAGGACCTAATATTATAATGAAGATAAAGAGAACAAAAACTAGCTGGTTTCTGTCTGGACAACTTTAAACTATAGAACCTAGTGGTAGCTTTTTGACGTTCAAGAAGAGCCGCAAGCGTGGCTATATTGAACAAAGAAAATTTCTCCTTTACACTTTGAGTAGTGAACGTATCTCTCGTTGTTTTCATTCCATTAATTTAATTAATTCGCCTCGTAATTGGTCTACAGACGCACAAGGAAGACGAGCGTTACGCCACGCCGAGTACCGCTAGAAACCTGGTGCGGTGCACGAGATTCCTTTCGTGCGTTGAGTCGATCGTCAGGAGAGGCGGCGTCCGAGGACTGTACCAGGGCTGGCTAGTCACCGTCCTCAAGTCACAGCTGACTAGCGTTGTGGCGTTCACGACTTACGAGAGCACGTGCTTCTTTATCAGGCAGTTCAATGAAAGACAATCCAATGGTGGCACCTAGCGTGACCGTTAGTAATCGTGTATCGTTTGCTTTTTTGCCACTTTTGCCACATTTAAATCACGGTTAAAGACAAATTCGATACCGTTGGACACGGACAAAACTAATTCTACATTCGTAAATTCACTTAATTCGTTTGCCGATCTTTCAGCAAAGTCATCATAAGAGGTGGACGTATTTAGACCAAAGAGCCTTACAAAATGGTTTTTGCATTAGCCTGTGTGTTTGCGCGTTAGCAATTACATCGAATGTTCTCGAATAAAGCAAATATAACGTATACGAAAATCCGCGATAAGTGCCACCATAAAAAAAACGATTAACGGGAAACAACAGATGCCTGTCAATGATGTATGTACGTTAATTTAATTTAATTTCAAAGTTGCAAATAAAATTCTTAATGTAATTGCAAAGCTGTTGTAAAGACTATAGGATTCTATAGTAAAAGTGTGATAAATATAATGTCATTTTTAATGATTTACACATACACAGAATACACCAGAAACCTTATCGATTGAAGATTAAAGTAACTTTAAAGCTACTAAGTGTAAAAAGATTTTTTATTTGTAAATTTAAATTTTTAGGATAATTTTCGATCTGCTTTGTGCCCAAAGAAATGGTTTATTTTTGTAATCGAATAAAGAAAAGAAACCAAACATTACAAAAACGTTAAACATTAAATTATTATTAAATTTCATTTTTCGAGAACTTACACTTACATGGACGTTGTTTGGTTGTTTCAATGAGCATAAAAAAAGACGTGGGCGAATAAGGAACAACAGTAATGGAAATTATACTTCTTTTATTTTGTCTTTGGTTCTTACATATAAAAAGATAACGGTAACTACAATTAATAACTGAAAATTGCAACTTCTTCGCTGGTGGGTGTACATTATTCAAATATATGTACAAAACGACGCGTGCTTGTACTGAAAAAGCCTGCAAACGATAAAAAATAATTATTACTCACGGGAATTTCATTACCAAACTTATAAAAGTGAACATACATTTGACAGAATGGATTATTGGATTGGTTCGTCTGAGAAAACCTTAGTTTCACCGTCTCGTTAATTAATCTTATCTTATCTTTGTAACCTTTGACCACCATCGATCTAGTGTTCAAGTTCTATTAATTTAGTAATTTTGAAAGCAATTTTTTCTTCGCATCTTCAGCATGAATTGAAATAGGGTAAAAATATTTTTCAATATCACTGAAATTATTATGAATATGGACCATCCTTTTGTTTTTTAGGTTTAGTAGTAAATTTGGGATGACAAAATAAAAACTTCTGAAAAAGCGCAACATCAACGTCATTCGGTAGAAGTCCACTGTTGAACATAGGCCACAAACTACAATATGAGAATGAAGAACAATACGATGACAATATAAACTTACGGCCAATTACAATATTCAAACTACAGACAGACTTTGTTATCAGCGATATCTATTTGACATTGACTCCATAATACTTACGTCAAAATTCATCACCAGTAACCAAATCTATCTGTAGATAGGTAAACCGGCGGAAAATCGTTTTACGATATCAATGATGTGAAGTAGGCGGCACTCACCTTATCCTAAAAAAGCATGTGGCTCCAATCAGTGCCAGCCGTGCGACAGCGACTCGCTCTCCCAGCCATGGTGCTCTTCCTCGTGGTGAACAGGCACGTAAATCTGCTTCTCCACCTCCACCTTCTTTATCACGGGAACGGGCACGTGCTGTACCACTGGGACGGGCACGTGCTTGTACACAGGCACCTCCTTGTACACAGGCACCTCCTTGATCACGGGCACGTGCACCGGGTACGGCACTTTAGACACGTGATGGTGATGGATCGTGTGGACTTTGTAGGGCACGTGGATGGTCACGTGTTTGCTGGAAGGGGGGAGAAATTTGAGTGAAATGAATTTTTTTAATGGCATCTAGGTTGAAAAGTAACCTTCGATGCGCTACGAAGTACTAAATATTACGTCAAACATTAAGGTCTCACAGATTGGTTTGTAAATCGTTATCATTAATCATGATTATCTGAACTGCATGCCACAGCGTAATCAGACATAGCTGCCCGAAGCGACCGTTACGATGGTTACGTGAGCGAAGCAGACCTCATGGTACCGGAGAAAATCACCACTTCCCCTGCATTACCGGGATAGTGAAAGCGTACGTGCAATTTGTGCGTGGCGTATCCGTGACAGCCCACGCACTGTCTGAGAGCAATTTGTCTCTTCGAAATTATACCTTTTTACATTTTTGACATTTCGCATGACTTTTGAGGGGCACTAGTCGAGTGTAATTAACCAATTTCATTGTTCCGTTCGCCATGTTATGTATGTAGTAAGCATTGATAAAGAAAAATCTTTCGGTTGCGTATCACCGTCGCACCGCGTCCTATTTGCGTTTGGTAATTAATCATCTCACAATTGCACCATTTTACCAAATATTCTAGATGAGAATAATTTGAAAGCAATTAAAATGAAACGGCCATTAAATATCGTCGAATGCGACACAACGAACACTCAGCGGGGACGTAATGAGCAATTATAAACGTTTTGGAGTAATCCAAATAGTTGCTCGAGTAATTAAATCATTTGACTTAGTGCGATCGTGCGTCTACCCAGGAAAGCTACGTTGTATTTTTTTAAAGATGGCAATTATGCATGCGCGTTGGACAAAGTCCATCGCTGCATTCTGACTATTTGATAACAAACATGTTTCACAACTATTCCCACTTACATAACGATATGCAACAGTTATTACCGCGGTCTCGTTCCACGACATCCATTTGCAGCCTACATTCTCATGAAAGCGGATCGTGTCCGATTTCTTCGACGGAATCACACGAGATTCGGAGGTCAGCTGGCAATACGAATACACGTGCGTGGTGCCAACTCGTTTTTCCACTGGGAATGTTAAGTTAGGTAACTCCCGTGCGGACTTCCTGAAGTTTCCATCGCGCACGAACATTTCGACGGGGCGTTTTTTAAGTAAACTACGCACCACTGTCCGACTACCGTTCACGTAATGGCTCATTTAAAAAGATCACAAACGGTGCGAGTTGAAGCCTCGTACGCGTCGTCTCGGATTGCGACGACCGTTGTTTTTAATCTGTATTCGCAACAGTTGCCCCGAAGCGGTTACGTAAAATGTCGGGTAGAACCCGGCAGGCATTATTTAATGAATGAAACCATCGAAAGCACCGCCTTTCACCGAGAGACCGGACGAGGGACGCGAAAGGGAATCAGCCAGAATGTGTAGCATCCAAGTTTGGAGGAAATAGGGTTCAAATTAACAATTATTCGACTACTATGCGATCATTGTTTACAGAAGCTGATGCCTTACGATAAAGAATAGCAAAGTGATGTGATTCTGTGTATATCTAATGGCGTATAACATTTTCAAGTTTTAAAAATCTTAAAATTAAAATTAATTCTAAACGACTAAATATAAGCAACTATCATGTTTATTTAGAATTTTATTACATTCAATGCAATTCACCGTTTTGCTGGGCTGTCTGTAATTATTGATTAGCATTATAATTCATTAACACTCAATTTATACACTAACTGCTAAATGCCATTTGCATAAAATTCAACGCAAACAAGAGGTGTGCGTATCGCTAGAGTGATGTTTATTACGCTCTACATGTAACGCTGTGAAACTAAATCTCTCGATCTTACAGGGCTGGAGGAGAATGTTGACGAACGAGTTACAATATCCAATTAATTTACAGCTTAGGAATAACGAATGTATGCGGTTACACAATAGCACTCGATTATAAAGTCAAAGTCAAAAGCCAAAATACTTAGATTTTACTATATTCGATAGCACGCCTACACAGATTAGGCATCTTCTGATACGACGTTTATCTATAGATCTTAGCTTAATATCACCTTATTTATCAAATATAAAGAGTTGATAGTTGGATATTTACCATCGCTATCGATTTCTTTGTGAACCGTAACAAATATATCTGTTTATTGCGGTCCCATGAGTACCAGAGAATTATATAAATTTAGTCAATAAAGGATTACTTTAACAGTTAAAACTTAATCATCTTTTGCTCATGTAAAAGTCACGGTTGGTTAGAAATTGTTGATTAGTCTCCACAAGTAAATAAAAATCAAATGAGTAACAGCAAACTCGTAATATTAGAGGTAAAATGTAAAAACAAAAAAAAATCCAAACTTCCCAATTTTTAAGTTTTTTTTTTTCTAACCAATTATACAACGTCACGATTTTCCAGATTACGATTAACGGGTCACCATTTAAAAAAATACTGTCCATTTGTTTTATGCTTCTGCAAATGTTCCTTCTTGTTTTGGTCGTCATAATATTTTAAACCACAACAAAATAAATGCAAACTTTTTTAGAATTGAATAGCATAAAGCTTAGCTTGAGAAAAACTTAGTAGTAAAAATACTCACTGTCCGAAGCCACCGGGAGTAGGGATTGCGACGGCAACAGCGACCATGACGGCGAGTAGCTAAAAGAAATAACAAAAAAAAACTAAATAATAAGTAAAATTCTATCAAACTGAAACTAATCAATAAGTCATGAAGACGCATCACATTTTAAAGTATTTTTTTATGTTACTAAATATAATAAACATTTATCTGTCCATAATGCCACTCGCTAATGCGAAAAATCTCCATGTCTGAATTGCATCCGAATCCGGCAACTTGTCACTTACGGAGAGTTTCGCGTACATCTTGCTTTGGGTTGCTGGACTGACCGTTTAATACACTTAACTTGCTGAGGCTTGCTGGCTTTCTACTTGCTCCGAACCTTCCACAAGCTTATATACGCCGCTAACAAGTCCAAAGATTGCACAATACTGCCCCTTGATTCATCCCTACTAACCCGTTTTACCCGATCAAATTAGAGAGGTGGGAGATATTGGAGCGTTGAGTGTAGAAAGGTACAAAAAAGATCTGGTGGGGCTGCCCGGTGGTAGCGGAGGATCTAGTAATGCCGCCCGCAATAAGTTTGTATACACAGATCTCTTGACGTGAACAAGTTAAGCGGCGTGTCCAATATTCAAATTTGACGCATCGCTGATCAATGTGACCGGTCGCCATTACTTTAGCAAAATTGGATCCTCCGCGGGAACACTTTAGCAGCAGATTTTCCTAAATGATACGGTACATGTGATTCTTATAACTCTTGCATACTTGTGTAGTCAAAGAAATATCTTGATTTTTGGTGTACACTTAATGCGATGCTTAATACTCTAGCATTATTGTAAAGGGCTGACATGCTTAGCGGATTTTTATTATAACCTTTAAGTCTAAACGTTTACATTGTCAATAAAACTCGTTTAAAGCTTTGCGATTGATATGTTTTAAATTGCAATGCTGTCCATTGGTGTATGAATCATAAATGTGTATATTGTGATTTTTATGAAAGTTTTTTATGGTCCGTTACAAAAATTACATTTTGGTTTATTTTCCACAAAGTCATTTTATATCATACTCAATTTCAGGTAAATGCATATTAACAATAAATTGACAAGTAATTAATAATACAGACTAGAACTACAGTTAATATACGCGTATAATAACTTGACTGATTACTTGTATAATTGATGAATATCTATGTAACTCATGTCCCTTTTTAACAAAGGTTCTCATGAGCAATTGCTAAAAACTTTCTCAAGAATATTTAACTCAGGAACGTATTTATGTTATTAAAGAAGAATCGGAATTCTATCGCACATTTTTCAACGATAACCTTCTATTACTCGTGGTGGATCAGTGTCTTAGTTTGTAACCTTGGGTAGGTGTTGGGTTGGTTGGGTTCAAATATGGGCGCTAGTACCGTTGAAATAGTACGTTTTTCGTAGATAGCGCTTTAATAAATATTCAAGTAATTTACGGTAACACGGGTTCACTCCGACATCATGTGAAATAACGCAGTCTGTCCCGTTATCATTAACGTTGCAGTGTTTGAAACGCCGCGAAAACAGACAGACAGAGAGACAGACAGACCGACAGCGAAGTCTTTAATAGTAGGAACCCGTTTTACCCTTTGGGTACGGAACCCTTAAAAATAATTTGATGAGGCTTTTGCCCTGCCGTAGGACATAACGTTTAAGCTATTGACATATGGCTCATAATCCAATACTTGGACGACTCCTTGGTGCAGTTGCCAAGGTATTGGCTTCAGCGTCTGGGGTCGTGGGTTCGATTCCCACACGGGACAACGATGTGTGCGATCCACAGATAGTTTGTTGCGGATCTTATCGTGAAATTTATGTTTGTTAAACATACAACACAGGTTAATATTATCCTTAATTAAGGGCCATGTTTTAAAAAAAAAACATAAGCATCACCGCGTCAATAAGTCATATCAAAATATTTAATAGTGCAACGCATGTATATTGCTGTCCCATTTGGGTAAAATTTCATCGCTCTTAAGTAAATGCCCCGAGATCTTTCTGTTGTGTTCATATTTTAAAACTATGTGTGTGCGAGCAGTGAACTCGACGAGGCTGCAATGATGATTACTTGTATAATTTACTTTGGCACGCAATGGAATCATAGTAATAATTTTAAGCGAATATTACACTTGTAAAATTGCAGCAACAATTATGTAAACATAAAAATCTTATTGCACAAAAAGTACAGACAATTATTATACACCACATGCACTCTTGCCTGATTATTCCTATAACTGATAGATTATTTCAGCTTTGAGAATTATAATAGTACTTATTAGTTTTGTGCCTATTGTAGCAATGCTACAAACATTATATTGCGTTCTTACGTACGATCAAACTCTATCGTTGCATACTTAAGTTTATATTAAACGATATTAGATTTTAGATTAGCGTGCGTAGATATGTATGACTATCTTATAATCTTCGCTCAGCTTACGCGAAACTGGGTAACTAGGTGACCGTACAGCTTAACCGGTTATTTGAAGTAAGGTGGAAGCACATTATTACAGTAATAATAGCAAGTAATATAAAAAAATTATTCGTCTTTAATTACATTACTAATTAATTACCAAACGATTATAATCTTTAAAGAATGCCGTATGAGGAAAAATTTGCACAATCGGTGTAACAAACAAAGGCACGAGGTTCTGCTACCCATTGATTCAGTGCTGAAATATCAATTTGCCTCTTAGACAGTTAGCGAGTGAACGCGTTTGATGAAAAATGTGTCGTCCCAACTTAAAGTAAAATTAATGCGGTCGTACGATAATACTATCTTCGGCTTATCTCGATGAAGACGCCGTTTTTACGTAGAGCGTGAAAGTCCATGTTACGCAATTATAACAAATTCACGGTGATAATATACACATGTATACAGTCAGCTATCAAGTGGTCGGATAGCGTCAGCTTAAATATAGATTGTTTAATATATATTTACGCTGACGTTGAAGCTCGAAGAAACAGCTAGAGAGTGCGTCATGCGTTCCTCCACTCCGCCAGACGCGCGATTAAATAACAAACAGCATCGCGGGATGCTATCAATATGTGAACTGCTGAGCGAAGATTTCGCTGGGCGGCCGATGCAGTAACCGTTGTTACTCAACGGCGCTGCACTCGCGAGATTCCCATGGATCAACTTTCATTTCGACCCGCCTCCGTGTATGCAAGGTGAGCGGTAATTATTCAATCTGAGCAGAACCAACAGTTATGTGTAACTAATATTTTGACCGCCTATTGCTTAACGCGGTTACATCTAAGTTATCAGCGCGTTGTAGCTTTAATCGGACAGCTATTTCATTGTGGGTTCGGGTTGTGTGACCCGACACGTTGCGATCCTCGGGGACCATCCCCATTGATCGGGCTGTATCTCGGTTAGCTGATGGCTAACCGGTGGTGACTCCTTCTGTAAAAGAAAGCTCATCCCTTACCGCGGCTGCGGTGTTAATGGGCAGAAATGTTAATAGAAATTGACTAAACTACGTAGGGGGACGGAAAGGACTCTACCTACGGGGTTTAGGGAATGGGA